GCCATGGACATGGATTCATGTTGCCCTAGAGGACATGAATGCTGCGTCCAGTGCAGCTCTTGAAAGTCTGGAGAGAGGACAGTGGTGGATGAAGAAATGAAGACAAGAGTCAAGATGCAGAGAGCTGAGGTCAGGTGGAGCCCTCTCTCCTGATGGGAGAAAGGACTGCCCAACAACTGCAACCACTTATTTATACAGTCAGGAGAAGGCTGATGTTTATAGAGAATTTAAGGGGAGGGTAAGATTCAGAACAGGAAGAACATCTAATCTTCAGCAAAACATCATGCCTTGGTTACATGGGGAACAAGAGAGGAGCTGTCTATATTATCCCAGTGGAAGGCCGAGTCACTTTGTACATCAGCTCCCTGAGCTGCATATACTTCTCATGGAGCCCTGCCAAACTCATGAAAAGAAGTGACACTGTCCTAGATACCCGAGGTACAGCAGCTTCATTCCCAATACGTGAACTTTCATAGTCACAGAACAAAAGAAAGTCGTAAGTCAATACATTCAATAAATGCATGGTGGGAATATCAGATAGGTGGGCTACAAGCAAAGCAGAGACATCTTTTCTCTAGGCTTCTGACATTATCTTACAGCATTCTTTTGGCTTGGTGGAGGCTAAAAGTCTGCTGAACTTCGTGAAATATTCCATCAGTCACCAGGATGCTAGGTCAGATACCCAGATTGAAAGAAAATGGCTGTTTAAGAGACTAAGCCCAAGATCTTTCTGGCTCACAACATTCCATCTCTCTATAATCACAATGTTGTGGACAGCCACCATCACAGAGTTTGCAGGATCTTTAATAAGATGCATCTTCTTCAGAGGATCTGAATCTAGGTGGTCTGATTCTCAGAGCTTGGGTCCTTAAATCCTGAATATAATACACTATACCCCATCTAAGAGGCAAATTTAATTATTGATTTTTTTCTCCCATCTATGTTTGTCCATTCAAGTCTTCAAAGAGAAAAAACAAATTATACATTCCAGCCACAGTGTCCAAAGAAAGGGCTCAATAAACGTCTCTAATGGAGGAGGTGGGAGCAAGACTGAGTGAACCCTCCTGCTATTCTTAAACAAGGATGGTTGGCACTGGTGGTAAAAGCGAAGTTCTCAGTGAGCCTGCTAACATTTACTCAATAGAGAAACCAACAGAGTGGACAAAAAATGCAAACAAACCCAAAAATTGATTCCTTAAAAGCCTGGCGAACCTTTTATATGTTCATGCATTTGTATGAATACAGTCATACCTATTTTATCTGCTTGTTAAATAGCTATATAATTAGATGGTTAAGTAGATGCAGATTAGAGCGAAACCAAATTAGCTTACTGCATTATGGATATAAAACCCCAGTACTTTTGGCAATGACTTTTCTCACAGACTTAGAAATCCCAAGGCCTTATCCATTTTAGCACCTTAGGAAGTTACCAGTCTGCAGAGCCATAAACTGTTCTTCCCTTTATCAGCTGTCATTTGTCACCCACAGTACCTTAACAGTCATATCTCAGAATGCTCCTCATAGCCAGAGAAGGTGACAGAAAATTGCCTGTGGGTTCTAAGACTACTCTTTAACAGCGGAAATGCACCGACTATGGCTGCAAATGAGGAAAAGATGGGCAGGAGTCTGCCCTGGTGGGTAATCACCCTCCAGCCCATCCCAATTAACCTGGGGAAGAAATAAGTCACCCCTGGTGAGGGGCTCTGGCCCCCAACATAGGACCCACCTGTCACCACCAAAGCTGGGACAGAGCCATGTGCACTTTATAGGCAAGAGCAACGTTGGAGGAGGGAATACCCAAATGTCCCCAGAGATGGGAGGGAGCAGATCAACCCAAACTATACGTTTTCACTTACACAAGACAAAGATTGACTGGGCCAAGAGACCCCATTTGGCTCCCTTTGATATGATCCTGATTTCCTCTTAGAAGCCCCAAGTTAGCTTAGATACAGCTGAAGAAAGCTGAGTGTTTACTTGATACTAAACCACATACTCTATTGACTACCAAGAAGGGCACTCAGTCTAGGAAAGTATCATAAAGGACATCAGGAAAGCGTTTCTCCAGGCCCTGGTGGGTGCGATTGGTGTAAAGGTTGTAAAGCACTCACTTCTGGTGTTGAGTGTCCACTTTCCCTTTTAGAACAAATCTCTTAGCAAAACTGAGGGCCACTATTAATCTTCAACAGGACAGGATGGCAATCCCCATCCTAGGAACCACGGAGCTGAGCTCAGGTGGAAGGCAGTCTTAGTTACTCGATCGTTACTGAGACACAACATGGACACCCACAACTGTAAGGGGGAGAGGTTTATTTTGGCTCACAGTTTGTTGACGTTTCAGTTCACAGTCGTCTGGCCGCAAGGCAGGGCAGCATGGCAGAGGGGCCTGGAAGAGAAGAAACAGTCCATGGCAGGGCAGACAGGAAGCAGAGAGAGACAGAGGGAGAAGGAGGGAGTGGGACGCCCGCAGTGACCACCTCCTTGACCGGGTTTCACCCCCCAATATCACATGTAGCTATAAACTAACTCATCACCGGACGCCCCTATGAGCTCCCAGAGCCCAACCTACGAATGCATGAGGCTTTGGGGGGACATCCAGACACGAACCATAACACAGGCCATCAAATGCCAACAGCTGTCCCTTGAATGTCTCGCTGCAACGCAAGCCTGAGGCCTGCGCCCAAGCACCAGTGGGAGGGGGGAGCCAGAGCTGTAAAGGTTGCCTTAAACGTAGGGACAGCTGGGCCCCGGTAAAACAACACCCCGGCTCCCGGGGGCTGGAATTAGGCAGGCACCCTAGGCAGGCCTCTGGCAGTCCCTGCCGGTCCCTCCACTCTCCCATCCTGCTAAGAAACCAGGGGCAGGGGATAGAGGTGTGTGCAATACCCCCCAGCTCATGCAATTTGTCCTTTTTCCGAGGAACAATTGATTTATTTCTTGCTTTTTTCCAAACTTGGGGTTTTATTTCTTTTCTCAAACAGCAGCGCGCGTTCTGGAGGGAGACCCAGCAAGACGGCTCTAATTTCCCGGGCCGAAGGCTCCCTGGGCCGCAGGGAGGGAGGCGCCGGGGCCGCGCGCAGGACGAGCGCCCCTCGCAGGCGCGGCCCCTCCTCGCCATCCCCGCGGCGCG